TTGGAAACTCATGTAGCAGACACTTATATACAAGAGATTTCCAAAAAATTCATAAAGCTTGACAATTCCTGAAACGTTCCAAGAAAATTTTGCGAGAATTTTCGGAAGCTTTAGAAAAGGCTGTGAGAATTCTTTGAAAGAGTTTGGAAATTCTTGAAAAATTTCTAGAAGTGTCAGAGGCTTTTCGAATTGAGAGACCTTTCGAAGAGAGTGGAAATGATTGGCAGAACCTCCGGAATTCTTGAGGAATCGATAGAAAGTCACGGAAAGTTTTTAGAAACCTTTGGGAACTCGGGTTGCTAGGGTGACTTCTTAGGCTGAACCTTGACTCTGCCTAGGTTTGGTCATGCGCCTAGAATTATGATCTTTGACAACACAGGCAAACTAGATTTGCTTAATAATAGTAATTCCAAGGCTTTGTCGAGCGAGCCGAAGGCGACGGAGCAAACCTAGGTAGGGTAGAGGTTCAGTTTTAAAAAAAGTCACCCTAGCAAACGTCTAATTTGTCTGGGGTTGCGTCGAACTCGCCTTCGGCTCGGCATTAATTTTATAATTATCATCTTTAACAACATAGGCGGCCTAGATTTGCTTAAAATAACAATTAAAGAGGCAACCTAGGCAGAGTAGAAGTTCAATTTAAAAAAGGCCACCCTAGACCTCTAATTTGCCTAGGGTTGTGTCGAAATCGCCTTCGGGTCAGTTGACATCAACTTTGCAAGTACAAAGTATACGTTTGCTAGAGTGACCTTTTAGGCTGAACCTTTACTCTGCCTAGGTTTGCGCCGTTTGAAATTATCATTTTTGACAACACGGGCATACTAGATTTGGTTAGAAATGAGAATTCCAGTAGGATTGCCGATCGAGCCGGAGGCGAGTTCGGCACAACCTAGGCAGAGTAGAAGTTCAGCTGAACAAACGTCACCCTAGAAAGCCTCTACTCTGCATGAACCTTTACTCTGCCTAGGTTTGTGCCGAACTCGCCTTCGGCTCGCTCGGCAATGCCTTTGAAATTATCATTTTTGACAACACGGGCATACTAGATTTGGTTAAAAATGAGAATACCAGTAGGATTGGCGAGCGAGCCGGAGGCGAGTTCGGAACAACCTAGGCAGAGTAGAAGTTGCGCTTAAGAAAAGTAACCAGGGCAAACCTCTAATTTACCTAGGGTTGTGTCGAACACAACCTAGGCAGAATAGAAGTTCAGCTGAAGAAACGTCACCCTAGAAAGACTCTACTCTGCATGAACCTTTACTCTGCCTAGGTTTGTGCCGAACTCGCCTTCGGCTCGCTCGGCAATGCCTTTGAAATTATCATTTTTGACAACACGGGCATACTAGATTTGGTTAAAAATGAGAATACCAGTAGGATTGGCGAGCGAGCCGGAGGCGAGTTCGGAACAACCTAGGCAGAGTAGAAGTTGCGCTTAAGAAAAGTAACCAGGGCAAACCTCTAATTTACCTAGGGTTGTGTCGAACACAACCTAGGCAGAATAGAAGTTCAGCTGAAGAAACGTCACCCTAGAAAGACTCTACTCTGCCTAGGGTTGTGTCGAAATCGTCTTCGAGTCACTTTGCAATTACAATTTTTAACAAAGTATACGTTTGTTAGTGGCTTTTTAGGCTGAACCTCTACTTTGCCTAGGTTCGTGCCGAACTCGCCTTGGCTCACTCGGAAATGCCTTTGGAATTATCATTTTTGACAACACGAGCATACTAGATCTGCTTAAAAATGAGAATTGTAGTGGGATTGTCGAGCGAGCCGAAGGCGAGTTCGGCACAACCTAGGCAGACCGCAGAGTAGAAGTTGCGCTTAAGAAAAGTAACCAGGGCAAACCTCTAATTTACCTAGGGTTGTGTCGAACACAACCTAGGCAGAATAGAAGTTCAGCTGAAGAAACGTCACCCTAGAAAGCCTCTACTCTGCATAGGGTTGTGTCGAAATCGCCTTCGTGTCAGTGGACAACTTTGCAATTACAATTTTTAACAAAGTATACGTTTGCTAGAGTGACCTTTTAGGCTGAACCTTTACTCTGCCTAGGTTTGTGCCGAACTCGCCTTCGGCTCGCTCGGCAATGCCTTTGAAATTATCATTTTTGACAACACGGGCATACTAGATTTGGTTAAAAATGAGAATACCAGTAGGATTGGCGAGCGAGCCGGAGGCGAGTTCGGAACAACCTAGGCAGAGTAGAAGTTGCGCTTAAGAAAAGTAACCAGGGCAAACCTCTAATTTACCTAGGGTTGTGTCGAACACAACCTAGGCAGAATAGAAGTTCAGCTGAAGAAACGTCACCATAGAAAGCCTCTACTCTGCCTAGGGTTGTGCCGAAATCGTCTTCGAGTCACTTTGCAATTACAATTTTTAACAAAGTATACGTTTGCTAGTGACATTTTAGGCTGAACCTCTACTCTGCCTAGGTTCGTGCCGAACTCGCCTTGGCTCACTCGGAAATGCCTTTGGAATTATCATTTTTGACAACACGAGCATACTAGATCTGCTTAAAAATGAGAATTGTAGTGGGATTGCCGAGCGAGCCGAAGGCGAGTTCGGCACAACCGAGGCAGAGTAGAAGTTGCGCTTAAGAAAAGTAACCAGGGCAAACCTCTAATTTACCTAGGGTTGTGTCGAAATCGCCTTCGTGTCAGTGGACAACTTTGCAATAACAATTTTTAACAAAGTATACGTTTGCTAGAGTGACCTTTTAGGTTTTACCTCTACTCCGCGTAGGTTTGTGCCGAACCTTAAAATTATCATTTTTGGCAATACGGGTATACTAGATTTGCTAAATAATTAGAAATTGTAGTGGGATTGCCGAGCGAGCCGGAAGCGAGTTCGGCACAACCTAGGCAGCGTAGAAGTTCAACTGAAAAAAGATAATAATTCCAAAGGCATTGCCGAGAGAATCGGAGGCCTGTTCGGCACGACCCTAGGCAGAGTGGAAGTTCTGTTTAAGAAAGTCACCCTTGCAAACCTTTACTCTGCCTAGGCCGAACTCGCCTTAGTTACTCTTAGAACTTTTCACAATAGCTGAAGCTGAAAGATTTCAAAGACTTTATAGAAGACCTTTTAAAGATCTTCATTAAAAGCTACTAAAATGCGGGCGTAAAGGCCATTGAAAACTCTTGTAGAGAAAATATTTGTTGGCTTAAATGTTTCTCAAAAGGCTCTAAGTTTTAATATAAAGATCCTCAAATGCTCTTAAGTGCACTTTAGGGGGTAATTAGCGCTTAATTTCAATACTGAGGAGGCGCATATTAATGACTTAATTTCTGCAAAAGAAAAATTCATTTATATAAAAGTCAGGAAAATCACACATTACTGACGAGGAAACATTATTAATTTGTGAGTCAAGTATAGTATCATTTTACTGGCGAGTTTTGTATTAAATTTTATCCGAAATTTTCAATTTGACAATTTTCATGTAGAACTTGTAGACATTCCCTGTGACATGCGCGGCCGGAAAAATGACAGTTGCGGCCGGTACAGCCGCCTGGTATTACTGCCTGCAAAATATCCTGACATGGAGTAGGCATCAAACTGAAGCATGACGATTGTGAGTAAAATAATAATTACGAAATATCACATGTTATTATGATGCGCGCATTTTGAGCCTAATTAAAAGTTCGCCATAAATTTGTGTGAATCATTCAATAGTCGTAATTGCTGTTTCAAACTGTCGTCATATCAAATTCTTCGACGCAAAACTACAGCGTGACCCATTCGGGTTTGCAACAAAAGATCGACAAGAAATGCACGTGACGTCGTAGGTCAGGCACTTCCAAAAAACTCGCCGACCCTTCACCCCACCGCCCCGTGCATAATTTAGCAACAATTTGTCATCGATCTTCCGGTTTGTTTGGGAATTTGACGCCTCCCACGTGACGGTGACGTTTTTTTTTTTTGCATAAATAAATGAGTCATACGCGTGTCTTGATATCTTTTACGTTATTTTTGGCAGTGCGCCCCCCATTCATTTCCTACACGCAAACTCACTTCGGCCGTCGATCGTCAGTTGTCGCGCCATTCGAAAATAGGCGGGAAATTTCCCGTTTTAAAAATCCAAAGTCCGTCGGCCCGAGTTCGAACGAAGCTCGAGAAGCCCCTCTTAAAAACTTCTGACGATACAACAGAAATTTACAACTTCGGTTTTCGTGTACTCTTTAAAGCGGAGTATTTGTCGGTTGCGCGGGGAGGAAAACCGCTAATTAAGCTGTACGTATTTTGTTCTCGGCGGACAACAATGGCATATTATTGCGCGAAAACCTCGGCTCGTTTTGTGTAATATTGGTGGCTGTGATTATGAGTTTGTCGGGTGATAATGAACAACTTTAGCTAATAATTACGTAGGTACGTAGTCCATTGGGCAAAATGCGATAAGTCAGTGGCGTGCGAGCGATTTGTGAAAGTCTCTCACTTTTACTTTTGACTGCACCGTCGAAGTGCACTTTCCTCCCATCGTTTGAGGAATTTGTAGACCGTAAATTAAATTGCGTTGTAATGGCCAATAATTGTGTTCGACATTGATTGGCGTGTACCGAGAAAAAAAAATGCTTTTTTTAGCCTGTTAACAGAAATTCAAGGTGAATGCAGAGTCGAGGGGAAATTAAAAACAGAACATTCGGTTGATTATTCATTATACAAAGTGAGTCATCCATAATGAAAAAACATTGTAAACATATCATCTGATTAGCCAGGAAATAAAACAGCTGACAATCGCCCAAGTCAAGATTCGAAAAGCGATAACGAAGAGTTGGACTTTGGTGACGTTAATCGCTGTTGACCAAGGGCAAGGTCCATTATCTAAACTGGATTTTCTTAATTGACTTTGAGGCTATCGTTGGGTACCTGTGTCGTGGGAAGTTTTTGGCGCCAAGAAAGTGGGGAACCCTACCTAAATTGAATTGGGGGTGTTCCAAGAATGGCATAATATTGACCGTTTGCAGTTGGCAATAGCTTTTTGCATATTTAAAGTATGAAACAATAAATATGCAAAAGTATTCCTGTTTTGGCATATATGAAAACGCTTTTTTTGGAAATAATTTTGAAAGTGGTTCGTTTCTGCTAAGTGGACACTGGACACGTTCAACTTAAGGGTGTTTGACCACTCTTTTTCTCAAATATTGTAATTCATATCAAATCTCGAGTTAAATATGCACATCGGTATGCTTAGTTTTTTTTTTTGGTAACTTGAACATTTTTCTAAAGTAAACGTAATGGGGCGAACAAGTGCAATTTAGGGGTGTTTGACACGTAACTATATCAAATGCTCTGATTGACACTAAATCTACAGATATCAACCCTTAAATTTGTACTAATACGCTTCATTTTTTGTAAATATTTTTCAAACTTGGTGACTTTTCCGCGTAAATTTTCAGTCGGCAAACGATGGGGTGGATCTTTTTATGGCGCACAATATCACTTTTCCGGAAGAATATTCGGCGCGCAAAAAAGGGAAATTCATTTAGTGGTAAAGTGCTCCTTTCTTCTGTCACGGACGTTGCCGAATCGTTTTCGGTTTTGTGCTTAATTTTCGTTTTTCGCGTCCCAATTTTGCGCCATTCCTCTCTCCACGATATTCGCGACGCAGGCCACGATGAAGTTCGCGCGTCGGCGAAACTCACGCGCGGCTCAGGTGAGTAAATTTACACGCACGTTCAACTGAAACTTTTGACATTTGCGCGTCATTGTCGCCGTTGGCATTTCGCCCTTGGCGACGGAAATGTCAAATGTTGTGATTGCGATTGCCAAAACGTGAATTGCGTCGCGGGAATAAAATAGTCGATTTCATTTTTGTCAGTTCTATCCAATAGGGAATTGAAAATGCGAAAGACGCGAGAAATGTCAGATTTCCATTTCACAATCCATTTCCCATTTCTGACAGGTCTTAAAAATAATGGCACCGAATGGCTCACTTTACAAGGGGGCGTTTCATTGACTTACAGTTCACAATTTAATCGTGTGATGTAAGAATTTATTGTTTCAAGTTCGAATTTCTAATCATCCAACAGCTCATCCCCCCCCCCCCTCGCAACCCTCGTCCCAACCCCTTCGTCGATTTTTACTGAACAAACACAAGTACTCTGTAGTAGGGAGTACTTGTTGGACTCCTGATCACTTATATTGCCCCCCACAGATTATTGTACTGTCATTATGCGCACTCCAAGAATTCAACTTTGCGCCTCCAAATGATAGAAATTATTGCGCAAATTCAATTACTTACCCTTCTTATGCACAGTAATAGTAATTAATTGTAATTAATTATTTCTCGTTACGATAATTAAACCCAATTTGGCGCCATTGTAATTTTTAATTTTGGGCTTGTATTGTTAAAATATTACTTTTTCTTTTTGTGCGGTAATTTGAACGTATGCGCCGCTAGAATTTAATTGTGCGCCTCCAAGTGATACACCTTGTTTCAATTAATTTGTCTATTCACAATAATTGTAATTAATTAATCTTAAAACGCAATGATTAAACTGCACTCGAAACTGCATTTTGCACAAATTAATTATTCCTTTATGTGGTAATTAGCGCCGAACATTCTTGTAAACTACACCATCATATATTAATTGAATAATTAATTTTATTAATGGCTGCCCAATGTTGTATTTTTGTGATTTAAAAAAAATCTACAAAATTGCAAAAATTCTATGGACCCGACTGTTATTTCCGTTGGTGATAATTAGCACCCGTTTTCGAGAATTTATTAACCTTCCCCTAATTAATTTAACGTTTTTGAGTTTGCAAAAGTTCTATAGATCTGACACATGGAAAATTAACTTTTTCCGCGATCATATATTAATTTAATTTTTATTAATACCACCCTAATTTTGCATTCTTGGGACTACGAATCCAATGCAAAAAATCTATGAACCCGACTACCTATGCAGTCATAGATAAATTCGAAAATTAATTTTTTAAACTGGCAATTAGTCCCAATTTTTAAAAATATAAGTTCTCTTCTGTCATACATTAATTTAATTAATTTCGCACCAATTTTGCATTTTTGAAATTCCTTCCTATCAAATACAAAAATTCTATGAATTCGATTGGGCAGTCATATATGAATGCGAAAATTAATTATTTCTTTCAGCGATAATTAGCCCCAATTTTTTAAAAAAAACTTCGAGTTCTCAGCAGTCATGCAGTAATTTAAGAATTAATTTTCTTAATGGACATTCCAATTATGCGTTTTTGGGAATAAATATTGGGTCCCTGATCAAATACAAGAATTGCACATGTTCTATGGAAAGGACTATGCGGTGAGACAAATGCGAAAATTAATTAAGGATCTTTTTGCTTGCTATTAGGTACTCCCAATTTAAAAAGTCACTACTGTAATATGTTAATTAATTCATTTAGTAATTAATTTCATTAATTGCGCTCCAATTTTATATTTTTGGGATAGTTATAGACAAATGCGAACATTATTTTTGAGGCGGCAGCAAGGGTGGCAACGAGGGTGCCAATTAGTCCCAATTAATTGTCACATTCGTCTACGACTGCATAATGGGGTGCATAGAAATTGATAAGGGACCCAATATTTATTCCCAAAAACATATAATTGGAGGGGCATTAATGAAATTAACCATTAAATTAGCTGGGCTAATTATTGCTCAAAGAATTAATTAATTTTCGCATTCGTAGATTATCTCGTAGATTACTGCATAATCGAGTCCACAGAATTTTTCTATTTGATAGGAAGCTCAAAAATAGTGCCCTATTAATTTAATTAATGTATGACAGTAGAGAAGGTTACCTAAATTATTGAAAATTGGGACTAATTGCAACAACAAAAATTAATTTTCGCATTTGTCTATGACTGCATAGGTCGGGCCTATAGAATTTTTGTAATGTTTCCATTGGATTTGTCTAAAAATGTATAATTGGGCTGTAATTAATGAAATTAACTCTGAAATTAATAATTAAATTAATGTATGACAGTAGAGGTTACCTAAATTTTTGAAAATCGGGACCAATTGCCACTAAAAACCAGGTGTCAAATTCTTGACAGAATAGCTTCCTAGCTGAAACCAAAAATTGCCAACATAGGTGCATTTTTTACGCATGCATTTTGTTTGCTTTTATTAGAGGGACCTACCATCCAATTTTCGTTAAAATTGCTCCATAAATAAGAAAGTTGGATGTTGCACATGCGCAACTCGATTTTTTGCGCATGCATTTTGTTTTCTTTTATTAGGAGGACCTACCATCCAAATTTCGTTTTAATTGTTCCATAAATAAGAAAATTGCATTTCTGCGCATGCGCAACACGATTTTTGCGCATGAATTTTGTTTGCTTTTATTAAAGGGACTTACCATAGAAATTTCGTTTAAATTGCTTCAGAAACAAGATCGTTGCGTTTTGCACATATGCAACACAATTTTTTGACTTTGACAATTTTTTTCTCCGTTTTTTGATAATATAACCCGGCCCAATTTTTTGTAGGTTGTACACAGGAAAATAAGGTCTTCCAAATAATAGAATAAAAATTTTAGGTTGCTATTTGAAAAAAAAAGTTCGATGCCGTTACGGCGCTCCAAAATTTTTTTTCAAAAATCCGGCCCGTTATTTTTCTGTTCGGTATGCCTAAAACATATATACAAAATTTCAACAAAATCCGTCGAGCCGTTTTCTCAGAAAATTGCCAACAAACGTACGTACGTACGTACGTACATACAGACGGAAAAAAATTTTATTCTTTAAAAGTTGCTTAAAATGGTCTAAAACGTCGACATTTGATGAAATTTTGAAATGTTCAAAAAACGGCTATCGCAATAGCTACCTAGCACATGCTAGGAAGCTAAAAATAATTTTCGCATTTGTCTATGACTGCATAGTCGGGTTCACAGATTTACTGCAATTTTATTGGACTTATAATCGCAAAAATGCAAAATTGGGTGTAATTAATACAATTATTATTAAATTAATGTATGGCAGTAGAGAAGGTTACATAATTTCTGTTTAATTGCCACGACTATGGCTGCATAGTTGGATCCATAGACTTTTTGCAATTTATGCATTGGATTTGTAATTCAAAAAATTCAAAATTTCGGCGTAATCTCGGGCGTAATTAATAAAATTAATTATTAAATTAACGTATAACTGTAGAGAAGCTTACTAGTTTTTTTTTAAATTGAGACTAACTGCCACTCAAAAAAGAACAATAATTTTCGCATTTGTCTATAACTGCATCGGATTCATAGATGTTTTGCAATTTTTGCATTGGATTTGTAATCCCAAGAATGCAAAATTAATTATTAAATTAATGTATGACAGTTGACAAGGTTACTTATTGTTTGTTTAAATGAAATTACTTAATTAACTTTGAAATCTTTGAAATTTAGAAAATTGGAGCTAATTACCGCCCAAAGAAATAATTAGTTTGTACAATCGTTTATGTGTGCATAGTAGGGACGAGGGAATTTTTGTGTTTGATAGATGACTCGATTTTTAATCTCAAAAACACAAAATTGGGGGACATCAATGAAATTAATTATTAAATTAAGGTACGACTGTGAAGTGAATTTTAGAAAATTGGGGCTAATTATCGCCCAAAGAATAATCAATAGTCGAGCGAGTTGTCGAGTCCATACAAATTTTCCAAAAATTTAAGTAACCTTCTCTACTGTCGCGCACGAAATCGCGCACTAATTTAATAATTAATTTGATTAATTTCGCATTTTGCATTTCTGTGATTCCAACCCAAAAATTCTATGTATCCGACTATGCAGTCATCGAGACAGCTCGCGAGGCAATCATAGACAATGCGAAAATTAATTATTCTCGTGTTGCAATTAGGTAGTACTAATTTTGAAAAATTTAAGTCTACTGTCATACATTAATTTAATTATTAATTCCGAGATTAATTCCTTCAATTGCGCTCCAATCCTTCGACAAATCTATTACGAACATTCTATGGACCAGACAAATGCGAAAATTATTGTTCTTTGTGTGGCAATTAGTTTCAGTTCTGAAAAATTGTCACCTTCTCTACTGTCATACATTAATTTAATAATTAATTAAATGAATGGTGCACCAATTAACTGAATAATTAGTTTCGTTAATTACGCCCCAATTTTGCATTTTTGGGATTACGAATTCGGTGCAAAAATTCCATGAACCCGCCTATACAGTCACAGACAAACGCGAAAATTAATTACTTTTGTGGTCAGTGGTCCCAATTTTCAAAAATGTAAGTAACCTCTACTGTCATGCATTAATTAATAATTAATTTTATTAATTGCGTTCCAACTTTCATTTTCGGGATTACACATCCAATTCCATGGACCCGACTGTGCCAGTCATAGACAAATGCGAAAATTAACTATCTTTTTGTGGCAATTTGTCTCAATTTTAAAGAATTTTAAGTTAACTTCTTTACTGTCATACATTAATTTTAATTGAATAATAATGGCGTCCCAATTTTACCTTTTTCGGACTACTGTCATGCGTTACTTTAATAATTAATTTTGATTAATTACCCCCCAATTTTGTCTTTTTGGGGATTACAAATACAATGCAAAAATTCTATGGACTCGACTATGCAGTCATAAAACAATGCGAAAATTAATTTTGTTGTGGCAATTATTCCCAATTTTCAAAAATGCTCTTCATACATTAATGTAATA